GTTCAAGCCATTAATGACAACGCCATGCGCCTAAAGTTGCCTCGCTCGATGTCACGTGTGCATGACGTGTTCAACGTTGATCGACTTAAGCACTATCCCAACAAAGCCAAGTTTGCCTCCCGGCCTATCCCGAAAGCTACTCCTGTTGTTCTAGACGAATCCACCGGCAAAGAAATGTATATTGTCGAGAAACTGCTCAAGAAGCGCCAGTTCAATCGCAAGTTGGAGTACTTGGTCAAGTGGCATGGACAGCCCGAAAGCGAAGCAACGTGGGAACTGATGAAGGACATCAAGCATGTTGTGCACTTCAAGCAACTCGTTCAAGACTTGGAGTCAAGGCGTTTCAAGGTGTAGCAAGACTTCAGGGGGAGAATGTAGCGATGTGACAGGTGTGGTAACGCCTTGCCACCACCTTGCCCGCACCCAGCTCCTAAGTACCTGGCTCATGACGAACCCTAGCTAATGCTTGCCTGGGAATGTGTCTCAAGGGCAAGTATGGCTTAGAATCGCTAGCCTAGTGAAGTTCCCCAATGTCTCAACCACACACGCATCCATTGTATACAAAAGTGCATATTAGTGTAGAAGTAGTGAAGTAGATTAAGAAGATTTCATAGTGATGAGGATTAAGGAGATCTTTGTAGATCTTCAGTTAATTCATTGTACATTTTGCCCTCAACTACACACGCTTCCTCCCGCAGTGCTACAACACACCAGTGGCACTGGTACCGGAAACCCGTGTATTTTCTATGTGGATTTCGTCAAAGTTCGTGTTTATTCCGTTATTTAGTGTGTGACAAAAACGGGGTCTCTGCAAGCATGTACAACAGTCTCGTGATTTCATGCCAACACGTTGCTAAAGTCTACGGGTACACATAAACAAATCCAATCGTGAAACAGACGTGACCAACCCTCGGGGTACATGTACGTATGCGACCGATTTCGATTGGATTGTGCTGTGGGATAGCTGCCTTGAATGTATTGGAGATGACACCGTCGACGTTCACTTCGTCAGTAAATTTCGAATTGCATCTTTTCGTAACGGAACCTCATTGTATTATGTTCTTACAGTGCTTTGGTGCGGTTCTGAAACCGGCCCATTGATCGACTGAACCAATCAAGAATGGAAGTATCGACTACAACCCACAATCAATACGTCACTGCCGTTTCAGCAGCTTTCGCCTATTGATAAATACGATTCCTCTTACGACGAATATGCTACATCGTGGTACTTTGATAGCTGTAAAGTTGTGACGACACTTTGCGCCTACTATGATGCACCTATCCACTGGTACAAACCATCCAGGAATGATAGCAAAAAGACATCATTTCGCTCCCGCAACTACGTTGTGATAAAGATTTACTAGATGAACATATCACAACCTCGTTCGAAGACGTACTGATTGAGTGAACACTTTATGAAGACCACAACTACACAAGGAGAAATCATAGGTGTCACAATAGATTTCACCTCACACGCTCATCATGCTATTTAAACATACGGCCATCATGGAATCGAGTTCAGGCCCATTATGCAATAACTAAGTCGTCTTTACCGCTCAAGCTAAAGGGAAAACCAGTCTGTTTAGCCAGCAATAACCGGTGCAACTTTTGTATCTTTGGACGATCTGACTTGAAGAACGACTAAAGCAATATCAAATATCACACTTCAGAGATAATGGGCATGGCGTTTTCTTCCGTTTAGTCATTGAGTGGTCCAAATCGTTAGTAAATTTAATCGCATATCCTACAACGAACTACAACTTCGGAAAATAGTGTCGATGGTCGGCCTAAAGTGAAGAAGTGATGCGTTTGGTTTCAGCCTGTAGTTTGGCTAGACGTAGAGTTCTTAGGTATGTATGTAATGAGATTTGGTGATTTGAAAAAGATGAATACAGTTGTGTTTTCTGTTATACTACCTAGATGGTAAGCCCTTATACAAATGTACTCCTGGTTGGCACCACGATCATTTTCTTATAAGTGCTTTTATGTATCAACAACACTCCTTGTTGAGAAATAGATATATCCTGTAATATACTTCAAAGTCAATACAGTAACCCTGAACATCAGCAACTCTGCAGAATCTCGTCGGCAACGCCCAACGAGAACAAGCACCATAACGTTACACAACATTCAGAAATTAAGAAGATATACCATGCTTACGAGGTATTCTACGATAAATCAAAGTCTATTTTCATACTCTCCATACACTGGTGGGATATAGCTTGTTAGCGCCATTCAATGACGCTGCACGTTATTCCAGCTTGAATTACCAAAGTATGTTGCTCTACGCTTAACTGTAAATGTACGATAGCGTTGTTATTTAAATAATATTAGTACATGGTAGTAACGTTTGATTCGTCCAAATATAGTGATTCGTATTTTGATTGGATGAAAATAATGTGTGGTCCAGAGAGAAACTTCGGATTTGCTCGTCCCAAACAAGTGTGCGAGGATCAAAACTTGGGCAAATGACGAGGTCTTGATAAGGGAAAATCTGTGATACATGCATGACCAGGACGCGAAAAACCATTCATTGCTTTGGCATGGAATTGACTATGATTTAGTATGGTACACCAATCGCTGGACAATAGGTGCCCAATTCGCGGTCGAAAAAACCACATAGTTGTCCAGTATTGTCTTCAAACTAGTATACTACATGTCAACCTTGGAGGAAATTTACGAAATTGCAGCACTATTTTGACTCAATTCGTTGGAATTCACAGCCAATCAAAGCCGCATAATTCACGATATTTATGCAAGTTTTCCAAATCTCGGAACGCAACAACGTCTGCCACCTGCCGACCGACTCATTCGCCGCACAAGTCCAGGGTCGCCCCTCCGTCCTGTTCTAGGCAGAGCTTGACGTCGTGTCTCGCCGCCGTATTTCCTATCTCCATGAAGCGGCCCCTGGTGGTGGCGCTGTGTGCACGGTGCGGAGGCCGTGCCGTGGACACGTTGGTCCTCCCAACTTCGCTCGACTTCGAGTACGTTGGGCTAAATCTGTGCCTCAAGTTGCGCTGTCCGCGCCGTCAAGTGTGCGCGTATCGATGCACAAAGCACAACCGATCGTTCGATTTGGACCCGACAAAGCCGCGTGCCGTGAGAACGTGCGTGGCCTGCGGCGCCAACGCCCAGGACCTGGCTGCCTCCGACGTGGACCTGCATACGTATCGCGTAGAGCAGGACGTAGAAGCCTTCCTCAACGCCTTCTGGGACGCCCCGCCGCCAGTTGTCCCTGCACCCAAGCCGACTCGTTCCAAACCACTCCCGCGTGTTCCAGTGCGACTGGCATACCGCCGTCCAAAGCGCCGAAAACGACCGAAAGCACGGCTCAACCACCCATTCCACCCCGTGGTCGATTTGTCCATTAGCGACAGTGACGAGTGAGTGTGTGCTGGTTACTTTTGGTGACCTCAAACAACGAACGACCCGACCGGCGGTTGTCCTCTGTCATCTCCATATGAGATCATAATTTATCAACACACAGTGATACTGTAATAATACGCTTCGACCCAGTCTTTGATGCTGTTGATTTGAATAGAGAAACACCTGAGCTGCCTGCCACACATACGGAACTTTGCAAACTTGCACATGTTAGTGTTGTCGAGTGTTTGCTGGGTGGGTGGGGCTCAGCATGTCATTGAAGTGTGCTTCTTGATTGCACTCAACGATATTTCTACTTCAAGGGGAACGAACGTCATCGCAGAGAGCGCTATGGATGGGATTACTGCTCGATTCATTGATTCAACCCTTACAACAGGCGTGCTAATTCCCATCACGATGGCGCCTTCCCCCCTGTTCGTTCCATGGCTTGACTTGCTGTCGTGGCCGGCAAGTCGTCCAGCTTAGGCAGGACGAATACAAAAAGTAACGCCTTCAACACAATATGTTATTACACTCTTAAAGTGTTTCCCACATGCAGAATTTGAAATGTTATCTATATTTTTCAACTTATACTAGTATAGCTGGTATACTTACAAATAAATTAGACGGAAAACCTATCTGGTCATAGAAACCAACCAAGTCTCGAACCAACAACCACCTTCCCGATAATATCGAATGAACGGACGATCGAGCGGTGCCGACACCAGAATGGCGCCAACTCGGGGGACGTCCACGAGGGCATGTGTGTGTGCTGCTGGAAGAGCTTACACAAAGGCATTTTGGAGGAGCAGATCCGATTCAAACTAGTAAATACACTTACTGTACGTATCAGCTGGTTGGTGGCAGGTAAATCCTGCCAACAATGCGCAAAAGTATGTCGAATACTATAAAATACTTCGAAGTATATTGGCTATTAAAAGCTGAAACTGCATTACATTCAACTATAGATACGAAGTATATTTGAATGTAATCCTGTTCCAGCTAGCTACAAAAAACAAACAATATGTCAACTATTGACCTATATGTTGTAGCCATACTGTATACTATGGCAATACAGTATTATTAGTGGCAACAGTGATGATGAATTGTTTGTTCTGGAGCGTCGAACCCAATTATTTATTGTTCGGAATGTTAGGCTAAAATAAGAGATGCGCTATTGGCGAAGTTGTCCACCAAGGACACCTTCCACTCCTTCATCTATACGTTCCAAATCATCTTGTCAACTCGTTGGCTAGAGCGGAGGCCTTCGTGTGATTCTCACCGAAGGATTTGTGATCTTCATGACGCGCTAGGACGTGGCGGGGGTGGCGGACACGATACGGAGTGAGTAGTTCGAGTACTAACGTTATCTATTGACCTGGCCATGAACTCTGAAAACTGGTAGCTTTGGTGGACGTTTCTCGTCTTGTGGGATACAGTACGCTAACAGATTTGATTGGCCGTGTGGTTTGTCGTTGGATTGTACTGCAACGATGGCTACCATAGCGGTCTATTTAGATTATTTACGTTATACCGTACTTTTTGAAGTCAATTCGGCTCGACGGGCATGCTGCTCAGTTTCGGGGGTGGGTGATCCAAGGTGTGTTTCAGTTGCAAGTATGGCCACTATCACGAGCCAAGATGTGAGAAAGAAAGGTGAGGATCGCAATCGAGTGAGAGCTGCGACAGAGTGGAACCTCACGTAGTACTGTATGCTGAATTCCAATGGGGAATCCGCCTCGTTCAATGTATACATGTGTACTGTACTGTAGAGAGCATACTTTACGGCAAAGTCATCGGACTCTATAGAGTTGTTCCCAACACTCCACCGGCACATGCTTTTTGTACGCGATGATCAGGTGTAACCGCCCACCAGACTCGTCGAGTTTGCTAGCTATGATGCGCTGGTTAACTATAAGTTACTGTATTTTCACAGCTAGCTAGCTTCATTCCAGCCGAAATTGAAAGGTCCGGAAGTGCGAAGTCCGAGCTGGAGATCAAAATGTGTCCATATATCATTCGTAATGTGCTGCCCACTCTCAAAACTCGCTCTGTTTTGAAATTTCGCTAAAATACCATAATAATACTCGGAGTACTACTAATATGCCACAAAAATCGATCAATTTTGTCCAGAAATCTTGGTTCTACTATGCGATCTATTTTGTCCCAACTATCGTTCGTAATACCTCATAATGAGATTGTGGGATTTGGGATAATTTGACATATTATATCCAAACTTCTTTAGCTGACAACAGTGGTCCAACTCTGTACCAGTTCACATAACACGACGAGACATTTCAACAACCGCGACGAAGATCGAGCATGGGGGCTTGGACGTCATGGACGGCGGCGGCAACGTCGTGGGACGTGGCAGGGAGAGTCGCGTTGATGTACTTGGCAGTGCGTGTTGCCAAGACGCTGTGGGCGTGGAGCGACGCGTCCGACTCGTGTGCGCGAGGACACAAACACAGCTTCGACCCACAAGATCTTGCTGGGCATCGGCATTACCGGTTCAGTGCGGACCGGACGTTATGGTTGCGAACGCGAACGTGGCTGCCACCGTCGACAAGGGAATGGAAGGGAGTGATCTTCATCGTTCACGGTTACAACGAGCATATTGCGCGGTACCATTACGTCGGGGCGGCGTTGGCGCACGAAGGATTCGCGGTATTTGGAATGGATCATCGAGTAATCTCCCCCCCTTCTTCTTCCATCGACTACACACTTTTCTTACCCTACAACTAGGGACATGGACTAAGCGAAGGCGATCGGTTGTACGTTGAGCACTTCGACCTGTACGTCCAGGACTTCGCCGCGTTTGTCCGCGATACGTTGGCGCTGCACAGCGACTCTCGTCATGTGAAGGAGTCCCGGCTGCACTTTCCCGCCAACTTGGCGTTGGCGTCGCTGCCGCGCTACTTGCTTTCACACTCTATGGGCGGACTCATTGCACTGCAACTCATTCACGTACAGTAGTCCATTTGTCCTTCGCATTCTCATCACGATCTCGACAGAATCACCCCGACATCGAATGGACGGGCGCCATCATGTCGTCCGGAGCGTTCCAGATCGAAGCCAAAGCCATCTCCCCTCTCGCCCAAGTCGTTGCATCCATCGTGAGCGCCATCTTTCCCAAGTTTCGACCGCCGAATCCAGAGCTTCAGAACATCGTCAAGGACCCCAGCGAGCATGAGCGGGCACTTCGAGATTCGTTCAATTACAAAATTGGTCAGTTTTCGCTCAGGGTTTGAATTTCGCTGTTTTTTATCGTTTTTGTCACTGTTTTATGCATTTTTTTTGCAATTTGCGTGTTGTAGGACCGACGGCGCGATGGGTGGCGGAATTCGTCAAAGCGACGCAAGAAGCGCCGGCGTTGATGCCGTCGATTCGCACGCCGTTGTTGATCTTTCATGGAGAGTTGGACGCCGCGACGCCGCCACAGGGAAGTGCAGACCTGTACGCGACCGCGGGAAGTGTCATCAAGGAGATCCATGTGCTCCCGAAGATGTACCACGAGCTCCTGCACGACTCGTGCCGCGAAGACATGTTGGGCACCATGGTCAAGTGGTGCAATCGCGTGCAAAAGAAAGCATAAACGACACGAGAAACGTGAATCAAAAGTACATGTCATCGAAGATTACGGGGCTTTTCGCTTCGTTGGGGATGGCTTCAAATAGGTGTGTCGAATGTACGAGCAGGAAGGCACGACTTCCAATTCGTTCGTCTTGGCATATTCAAACGCTTCGTCGCACAATAGCTTGGCGATTCCTTGCCCTCGTCCCGCGGGATCCACAAACGTTCGCCACATGTCCATCGTCGTCCCCTACATCCAGACCTTGGTGAGCACATGCTACGAATTTGTCGTGTTTCTACCTGGATGTTGTACTCCAAGAACCCAAGTAGCGCCGTGGCATTCCCTGGTGTGGTTTCCCCCTCGCATGTAAACTGCATCTGCGCCGGGATGTGCCGCACGCGCTTGGACGGCGCCACCGCCGCCGTAGAGAACCGCAGCAGGCGTTGCATCGGTCGCGTTGGAAAATTCGAAAATGAATCGTCTACTTGAACTTGAAGAATCATCCGAATAAGCCTATTCGGAAAAATACACACTATTTTATGCTTGAACACAAATAGTGTTCATCCCATTACGACTGACATATTTCACGTTCATACTAAAGTCAAGTATAATACTGCAATACAAGTTGTATTCATGAATTAGCTATTAGTTCTTGCAACTGCTACACATGCAAGGGTTTTGGGTAGTTGAACATGATCTCCTCATTCACCCCAATGGCACGGGACGCAAATATCGCCACTGGAAGCTCGCCATGAATCATCCACTCCTCAGCAAACGCGGATGGATGATACGAGTGAGATTAGTGATTGATGTAGCGCGAGAAGTTCCCGTACTAAAATGTGTCGATGAATCTCCCGTCACCCAGCTCCATGATGTACACATCTTGCGATCTTCCTTGCCGCGCAACTTCAGTTAGGGTCTGGTTGAAGTAAAATCCACCTGATTTTTTTCCGACGACTTTTTGGGTGAGAAAAAGTAGCTGCTGGTTAAAGTAATCCGGTAAAATAATAACTGGTCAGTGTTAATTGTGACCGGATAGTAGCGGTGTTTCATGGCCAATCACTCATAATGACGGAGCTTGAGCAACTAGAAGTGGCTGCCAACGACAGCCTGACAGCGAAGAAGCCAAGGTGTTCTGCAGCGTGCAGAGCAATTGGGTCGCGCGTTAGTTTGACCCATTACAAACACACACACTCTGTGTGTGTGGCGTGTCAAAGGTTCCGATACCTTAGTGGAGGTACTGAGTACTTTAGTGAATGGTAGTCAGTAGGTGCCTCGTAGCGTGTTTAACCTCACTAATATCAGTGTGTATATTTGCTGCCTTGACGAAGGTCCCGTGGCCGAAAGCCAAGAAGAAGCGGGAGACAAAACAAAGATATCTTTAGTTCATTGTTGAGCTATTCACTGGAGATTGTACGAGAACATTCCTAAGACGAGGAAACGCCAACGAACGCCGACGAACGATCGCGGTCGCGTGACCGGATCGAGGAGCTGCGAGGACGCGCCGCTCGGTGCACCGTTGAGAACCCGTTCAGATCTCCCCGACGACGACAGCCACCTGCTGTCGACGAGTGGTAACCACCATGTGGTGGGTTTTACACCTCCGCCACAACCCGTGGAATACCAGCTGTCGCAGCCTTTGGCTCACCTGCTGCTTTACCAACGACTGAAGCAGATGGTGCTTCAGTGCCGTTGCCAGCTGACAACGACCCGTCGGACGTTCGTGACCATACGGACATGGGCAGCGATGGCGGTTACGGCCGTACGGCGCCGCAAGTTTGGAACGCGCCGGCGCTCCCACAGCCGCCGACCAAGACCGAAAGACGCGCTTTTATGCGCGAGTACCAGAAGTATCTGAGGCAGATCAATGCAGTGCAATGGATCGCGTCCGTTCGCGATGCCCGTGAGTGCCTGCATAGACCCGTTCTCGAAGCGCCGGATCGCGCTGTTCGACTTCAACCGCGACCACCATTCCATCACGAACTATGAGTGGGTCGCGTGGTTCAAGTAAGCGTTTGAGGAAGACCCGCAAGACCTGGACGTTTTGAAGCAACGTCTGCAGCGAGCGATTTGCTTGGATACGAAGATCTTGGACGCGGAGTCCCGCGTCGGTCGTATGCTTGACGATCTGATGCGCTCGTTGGAACAAGACCATCAGGAGTGGGTACTCCATCAAGAAGGCAAGATGGTCGTCGAAGTCATGACGAAATCGATCAAGCCGGAATCGCTGAAGACAGCTGTTCAAAAGCAGCTGCAGTTGCAGCGGAACAAGGCGTTGAAGAGCGACGTCTTTCGTTACGTCAACTGGCTGCGGACATGTGCAGCTCGCCACCAGCTGTACGTGGGACTCGACGACGAGTCCAAACCTGGCAGCGAAGCCGGTAGAAGCTCCACTAGGCGGCAAGCCTTACATGCCAAGACGTGACAGCGGCCGGGAAGACGCCGCCAAGAACAATGGCAGAGTCGGCGGCCGAAACGATTGTGCCGAAGAATGCCGAGGCCCCTGCCAGGAAGGGCTGCTTGAAGTGCGGTGACATGAGTCACCGTGTGGCGCGGTGCCCGAAGACTGCGCCTGGCGAAGCCTAAACGTTGTTGGCAGCGCAAGTCAAGCGCTGGAAGGACGGCATCAAGGTGCTGGTCAACCAGCCGCAGCGCCAGAAGACAGAGCGCGGCGTGCTCTTGGAGAATATCGTCCGCGTGGACGATGTGCTCTTGGACTCTGGTTCAGACGTGACCGTTGTCACGCGCGGCGTCATGGATGCGTTGGACACAGCCGGTGTCAAAGTTGGGACCGTCTCCAATAGCATGCCGCATTTGGCGTACCCGTATGGCAGCGACGCCAAACCAGTTGTGATTCGCGCAGCGTAAAGTTCAACTGCGTGACGCTGGACACGACGTGTGGGCCGCTTGTGTTGCGCGGTCTGAAGGCCTGGGTCGACGACGCGTCGACTGCAACCGAACTCATCGTGAGTCGCCCAGTCATGGAGTTACTGGGCTTCAGCGTTGAAGACCTCCTTGTCGGAGCAAAGAAGAAGAAGAAGGAAGAATGGGACGTTTCGTCCGTGCCGACGAATGAAGTGTGCGCCTGATGGCGGAGAAGTTGAATCCGCCGGAGCTTGACCCCGACGACGGGATGGAGTGTGCTACTCCGGAGGTTTATCCCAAAGCCTCCGTTGAGGACGAAGCGGAGCGCCGCCGCACGAAGCAGGGCGCCGTTTAAGCCATTCTGACGGCCAAGGAAGCCGAGGCGGAGACGCGCGGGCTTGCACCCGCTGAAGCGACGCGGCTGCACGACTTATTGGCCAAACACATTGATGTGTTCCGTGAAGACTTGGGAGACGATCCGCCAGACAACGTCGAGCCATTGAAGGTTCGGATCAAACCCGGCTCGACGCCGGTGAAGTGTGGGATGCGGCGGTACCTGCCGCTACATGTGGAGTACATGCGCAGCCACGTGGCTGCCCTGGAAGCAAATGGTATGGTATACCAAAACAACCGGGCTACGTGGGCCGCAGCCCCAAGGATCGTGCCGATGAAAGAAGTCGGCGATTTGCGCATGACGATCGACAGCAGGCCGATCAACGCCTGCATGGAGCCGATGCCAAACCTGGACAGTGCGATGGTCTGTCTGGTCGGAACGAACGTATACTTCACATTGGACTGGACCAAGGGGTACTGGCAGTTGCCGCTGCATGCGGACAGCCAGATGTACTTCTCGTTCATGACGCCCTTCGGCGTGTATACCCCGACCCGCGTGCTCATGGGACAGACGGACGCTGTCGCGTACTGCCAGTCGGTTGTTCACCAAATGTTTGGGTGAGCTGTTGTTTCGAGGCCTGTTGGCCTGGCTCGATGACTTGCTGGGGTCCGCCAAGACGACGGACGAGCTGCTCGACTTGCTGGACCAAGTCCTGTCCATCGGTACTCAGTTCGGACTCAAGCTGAGCCACCAACTGGATGCGTGCGAGCATCCCCGGCTACAATCAGCTGGTGGATCCGTTGCGACGTCTGCTCGACGTGGCCACTAAGGCAGCCGGAAGCTGCAATAAAACGGCGTTAGTGCGTGTTGCACTCCCTGCCGTGGGATGGTCGTCCGACTATCTCAAGTGTTCAACGATGTGAAACACGCGTTGGCGCATGTGGTGCCCCTGTGGCACACGCGAGAAGACATGACGGTCTGCGTCTTCACGGACGCCAGTGACCTGTTTTGGGGTGCGGTCGCCACAGAAGTACCGCCAGCGAACCTGGATTTGCCTCTCGAAGACCAGCGGCACCAGCCGCTTGCCTTCATCAGCGGGTCATTTTCTGGCGCGAGTGCGCGCTGGCCCATTGTCGAGAAGGAGGCCTATGCCGTGGTCGAGTCGTGCAAGAGACTTGACTACCTGGTCGTACGCCCGGGTGGTTTCCGTCTGTTTACGGATCACCGCAACCTGGTGTACATCTTCAATCCAAGTGGCTCGAACGCCAACATGGCCAAGTATCAGGCCGACAAGCTGCAGCGATGGTCGCTGGTGATGTCGACCTTCCCATACACCATTGAGTGCGTCTCGGGTGACGCGAACGTATGGGGCGACCTCCTGAGCCGATGGTGTTCGGCTCCGGTGGATCAACCAGTTTTCGCAAGTTGATCCATGTGGTGTCGCCCCTCCAACAAGTGGATTTCGAGTGGCCGA